TAGTTTTTCCCAGGAGGTCTCCCATCCAGGTACTGACCAGGCTCACACCTGCTGAGCTTCAGTGGGTTGCCAGTTGTGAGTTGCAGAGTGATATGGCTGCTGGCTAAGACGTTTGATGTACAGTATGCTTAAAATAATTTGCAATATATTCAGAGTTTACCTGTTTCTGTCATTATCAATACTGTACAGTTTATACAGTTTAGATGTTTGATTTCTGATTTTTTTGTTTTCAAAATTGACAAATCTCCCTGGAAGCAATTTGCTATCAAAAGGTTCACATAGCTTTCAGTCGCAGAGCGTGGTTGCTCTTGACTTCTCTTTAAGGGGTCGTGTATATCTGTAGAATTCACTGACCCAGACCGATGAAGTTCAATGATTACAAAACACATCAACTTAAACTTAATGGAGTAGAAAACAATTAAAAATTGAGTCTACTGCTGGAAAGCACGTATTGAATTCCCTTGCTTTGTGGCCAGTGTGAATGTCTCTTATTGGAAGCAAATCGGTTATAATTAACCCAGAGACAGCGGGGGAATTAAGCAACACCAGCCAGTACCGCAGAGTGGACTGAATGAAAAACTGGGCTCCCCGTCTCTCACACAGGCGCCCTGCGAAGTGAGAAGCTACCTGGGATATTGTCCAGCAGCTTCTGCTGCGCTCTTTCCTTCGTTTCCTGTCGCTGCGATTCTGTCCTGGGTGCCGTTGGAGGCGCAAGCTTCCCGTTTGGCCAGAAGGTGTCCCGGAAAACGTTGATGTAATAAACCAGCATCTGCTCGCTGAAGATCCAGTTCACCGTGTCGCGGATCTGCCTGCAGGGGAAAACACTCAGTCAGATCTCTTGCAGCAGAAGCTGTGTCTAGGGGCAGGGCTATTAAACTCCTGGTCTGGTCACAGCCCGCTGGGCTTTATAGACAATTGATAACACTTCATGAGTAAAGACATGGAAACGAGACGTTAGAATGTACACTTATTAAGTGAACAATGCATTCAAAGCAGTGCCATTAAAAGTCTAGGATGGTGCATATTCCAAGATCAGGAGTCAATATCATTGGCCTATGGGACACTTGTACAGTTCAGGAAAGTACTGAGAACATCACCCACTGTGTTTGGCAGTGTCTGATACAGTATATACCGTACACTGTACTGTACATGCAATTGTTTTTTTTTCCCCCTCTTAACAGCTATGCATTTCCCAGCTTAGGAGACAGATGACGGATGAAGAGTCCTAGTGAAAGAACAAGCAGAATGCTTCACAGACTGGGAAACGATTCTTGTTCCACTCTGTGGCCAGCTGTCCATCTTGCCAACTGCCTCACCTGTCTACAGAGCTGGAATCGTGGGCGATCACCCTGGCAGCGAGGGGACACATGGGAAAGCACGTCACTGTGGGTGGGGAGCTGTATTGTGTTCTCCCTTCTGTATGGGGACAGAGCTGTGCTGCTGCTGCTGCACCTACACGATTTACACGATACAGCCGTCTGAACGAGCCCCTGCCCTAAGTAACTCGCCCCGTATGTGCGGGACCACGCCAGCACACACATGTGCCGGAGTTTAGAAAGCTGCCGTGTGTTGAGTGGATTTGGTGGAAATACTAGAAATACTGGGGCTCTTCCCGTCTTTGAAATATTACATTAGCGATTTTGCAAGTGTTCAAACTCTTTCAAGTGCTTGCGAACTGGCGAATCTTCCCCTCCTCCCAGTAATCACAAAAAATCAAATGTAAGGCTTCTGTCAAGCTGCATGATGAGAAGACAATTCAATTTGGTGTTGATGTGCAGTAAGCAGTCATTGTAAGGCACCACAGTCAGTGCTGAGAACCCTCTTCTACACTAATTGAAGGACCCATTGTCAATATCAGATTCTCCCAGTCATTCAGTCACTCCTTTGATGGTCATGATCAAGGAGTCTTTTGGCAGGATACTGTAGGTCAGCTTCAGCTGATGCAACTGAAAAGGATTCATTCTTGCTAATGGAACAGAGTAGGGGAGTGTCCTGTTAAGGAAAGCACTTCACATTGTAAAGTGAAAATCAGTTACTCGTAGGAGAGATGTTGGTGCCGTTTATGACCCTGATCAATAGCAGCAGGAACATGGACATCATCCACTCTCTGTGATTACATCATTTAATCTGCAGCCATTATTGGGAGAAAAACAGAAATGCTGAAGTCACAAAGTGCCAACAGCTAATTTCAGCTAATAGTCATCATGGAACAAGAGGTACTGTAATTGCAGCGTGTTAAGTGCAAGCAGCCTTTTCCTGGAAAAGAGAGACCAATTGGTTTTTTTTCCCCCTCTTAACAGCTATGCATTTTCCAGCTTGGGGGACAGATGCCGGATGAAGAGTCCCAGTGAAGGAACAAGCAGAATTTTTCACAGTCTGGGAAACGATTCTTCTTCCATTCTGTGGCCAATTTTCCACCTTACCAACTGCCTCAAACATCCACCTCCAGCTTGCAATGAGCACCTATTTTTAGGTGCAATTAGCAGACATTCTTGCACCTGACTGAGTCTCGGCAGCTCTTCTCAATGTCCCTGAAAACTCACAGGAGCCTGGCGCTCTGCAGGAGCTCCTGACACCAGGACTCCTTGGCCGGCTCAAGGCTGTCCAGCTAACTCTGTAAAGCCTTCACCCCCCCTTGGACTTTTTGACATTTTATTGTGTTTCAGAATGGAAACATCACATATTTAACTGAAAGTTTTTGCCCTTACCCGTTGATCAAAAGAAAAAATCCCAAATAAATACATTATAATTCTATTGTAACACAGTAAAATGTGAGAACATGTGGGGGGGGCTGAATACTTTGATAGCCACTGTAAGTCTTCAAGTGGACCATCCTTTTCTTACCTTTCCTTACAGAAGTTATGGTTCTCTACTGTTACACAATAGTTCAGTCCAGCATGCCCCTTACTCTAAGGTGGCTGGAGTAACTATTATGGTTCCAAATTTACAGCGCTTGTTAGTGAATGTTACTTGGTCATTTTCATCTTTTGTGCTACATCTGCATAACCCTAATGAGTAGCTCATCTGGGAAGAATAAGCAGCACTTACTTGTTAATGGTTCGTCCAAATGTGACTTGAACTAGTGCAATTAGTGTCTTCCTCACCCACTTAAACACTACAGTAGAAAGATGCCAAAAGACAAAAAAAAAAAGAAAAATGTTTTCAAAACATTCATGTGATATAATTTGAATGCTCATAAAAAAACACTTTTGCACACAGCAGAACAACAAAGTTTAAAAGCTAAGCAGTGGATCCTCTAAGTTGTCCAGTAAAATTTCCATTTGCTTGTTATACAGACACCAATAAACACCAGGTGACAAGACAAATTATTTTTCGCATCTAGTATGAGCTCTGCTAAAGGACGGTGTCCATTAAAATAAAATATGAGCTAGACGTAACAGTACTGAGGTATGGCAAACCAACACTGGCATATCTAATACGAAGTAAATCAAAGTGATATCATCTGAATGACTAGACATGGGGCTCTTATGTCAGCAGCTGAAAACTAATATAGATGGTAAAGAATGCTCACAAGATATCTGAATGCTGAGTACTTTGCACTCGGGTATATATATCTCGGGTGCACTGAGAAGCAGAGCAGACACACATGCAAATGTACGAGTTATTCAACAGCGAAACTGTGGAGAGGCCTCAAGGGATTTCACAAGGAGTGCGTTCACCGTGTACGAAAGGACTGCGAAAACTGCCACAAGCCTCAGCTGTACCTTGTCCACTTGATGGAAGCATCTGATAAAACTGTTATTTCGAAAGGACATTCCCATCGCCTGCGACGGACAAGTGCCGAAAGCTCTTTAGTAATTCAGTGCGCTGACAACAAACACAGCTATTGAGGACCACAGAGAGCGGGAGGCAGGTCTTTATCCAGAGGGCTCTGGGGGTACAGAATAAGCCACCCAGCCTTGCTGTTGAAGCCAAGACACAGCTGGATGAGATCCCTGGATCAGTTAGCTATAAAAGCAGGCCAGAGGAGCCAAATGACCATGAAAAGCGAACTGCTGCGTTCTTTTTCCTGAATGGGCTGATCCGTCCCTTTGGCCTGTAATAACAACAAGGCACACTGAGTTCCTGCATTAAACTCACAACAGAAGCTACACTGAATATTAATACCCCTACATAATCAGGGTGTATTTGTATTATACAAGCTACTGTATATAAGCACCAGTGTCCAAATGCAGAGACTACAATGGACACTGCTCCACGCCAAGCCACAGGGAGCAACAGGTGCAGGGAGAGAAGAAGATTAAATTCAGAGATACAGGAGGCCAAATGAGAAGAGAAATGTTCCCATCCCTGAACACCAAGTTAATTTAATGGCATGTCACACAGTTGTAGCACTAAAACTTTATTAAACCCCAAGCTCACCTCTGAAGCTGTGTCCTAGGGTATTTACTGTATTGGCACCTACAGAACCAAGAACTGTCTTTCCTGAAAATGTCTGCTGTCATTGTTTAACAGACATTAACGATTCGGTTCAATATTTTCTTTTTAAAAAACTCCTTTCTGTATAAAACACCAGCACAGCTCAAATAGAATATAATTGGAACCAGGGAAAATGCAATCTGCTTGTAGCAGAGAGCCCGGGGAACAGTCATCAGATTAAAAGGATACTATTCTATAGCTGTCTGGCAATGTTGATCAATTTCATCTACATTCACCTACAGCCGAAATATGATATACTTCAAAGTGCACAGAATCTGACATTCCAGTTAAGTAGAGATAGTGTCATCAAAACATAAAGGAAATGCTGCATCAATCCAGCTCTTACTAGTCCAAGAAGTATTTAATCTCTTCATTTGATGGGGGGAGGTGGAGGCAAATATCTCTGAGTGAGATGAGCTACACCGGTTGTACAATCTCAAAAGGAAATTCAAAAAGAAACTCCGTGACTTGACAGGAACAGCAAGCTCCTGCCAAGTGTCTGTGACTTGACCTCCGGGAAATCTAACCTAACAATCGCACTATTCAATTAAAAGGATGGTGTTTCTCAGATTCTAACACAAAGAGGTGTCGCCAGAAGTGGCATCACAGCCCTGGATGTTTACCAGCAATTCCTCCAGGGTGTTTTTTTTATAAAGCAGTTCAGCCCCAGCCCCATCCCCAGTCCCTTCATGGGAACCCCAGGGGCCACAGTGACTTACTGCCCCGGAGCTCGAAGATTTCTCCAATCAGCATGAAGCACGGCTCCGCAAGAGAATCCTTCTTCCCGTCCATCTCCTCCCCGTAGTCCGAAAGGTCGCTGTCCTCCTCAGCTTCCTCCTGAGGAAGAGCCGGGATGGAGAGAGGCCCCCGTTACAGAAGGCAGGTCGACTCCTCCCCCCGCACACTGCAGCGCCGCTTACAGGAGCAGAGGGTTTCCCACTGTGTTCTGCGCTACTGTCAGCGTGTGTCAGTTCGGCGTCTGTCCGGAAGAATCCCGGCACGCGGAGGCCACGATCAGAGTCATGCTGCCGACGCAACGCTCACATGAAGGCCTTTGCTCTGTTTAAGCAGCAGATAACGCCCTTAAACGGTTAAAAGTGAAAGTGAAAGAGAACAAACCTCTTTGCAGGTTTAAGAGGGGCTGGAGCCCTAAAACTAGGCTGCAATGGCAACAGGGGCTTCATCAAGGTTGCAACGCACCGATGAGACCTAACCAAGCCACACCTCGTTTTATCTCTTGGGGGTACTGATATACGTAAGAGAACAATCTGAGAGAATCAGTTTCCTTCTGCCTGCTATACACACACTAGCTAATACTGGAATAATTAATCGGGGCACAGAGCTAAAACTGTAGCCTGGAGGATACTGGAGGGTGTAGGATACTTGATCCTTCATTGAATCCTTTGAATCTGAGTCACTGCTCAAGGTTGAAGCTGTGGCTTTTTGGACCTTAACTGGTCAACTCATGATTGATTAGTTAGAGCGTCTGGGACTCTCTACGGGTTTGCACATTATAGGAAAAGAAAAGACTCCAGGATTGTGCTTCAATTATGGCCCATCCTTGCAAGGAACCCAAAGAGAAAAAGAAACCTACTTGATGCCTACTTGACAGGACCGCCAATCTCCCCAAGTTGCAAAGTGCTGGGCGTTGCGGGAGGATGGGTTTTGTTGCCAGCCTGTACGTACTGTAAAGGTTCTTTTCTCGCCCCGAGAACACGTGTGGTAAAAGCCCCGCAGCTGGTCGCCGGGCCGGCCCTCACTGACCTCCTGGTGAGAGAAGAAGTCCCCAGGCAGCCGCTCCAGGAAGGAGGCCAGGGAGAAGGAGGGCTTCTTGCCCTGACTGTCGACGGCCTTCAGGTGCTCGGGGGAGGGGCTCAGGAAGGCGTACAGGGCCTCGCTCTGACACAACCGCTCATCCGTCAGCGTTTTCTGTTCAAGACCGAGACAGAGGGGGCGACAGCTATGTCACCGGAGAACACACCGTGTGAGGAACACACTCCGCCTTCCAAACACGCCGGAATCTTACTTGAGCCTCATTTGAGGTATCTAACGAGCCTGTCGAGCCTGCAGACTTCACAGGGAACGAGCAGTGGTTTCTCACGGCTGAAACAATTTATGACGCTGGTATGCCGCACTGAAGAAGAAAATCTCCTTCATGTCGATGAAGGAGAACTCCTACCTCACTAACATCCAAAACAGCACATTTACAAAGGTTCCTATTATTTTTTGACACGAGCACAGTGGAGTTAAATCACACACAGAAATTTGGGATTTAAAATTCATCTGTTAATTGCTTGACGAGGTCAACTGTTTTCAGAGGGAAATTATTTCACTGCACTATTGTGAATTCATCCTTCCCAAGTCTAAATAGGAAACAAATATAACACACTGTGATTAGAGACAGAAAAGGGCTTGAACAGAGGTATGCATTAATTTCACAGTAAGAGCATGTCTCACCTGTAAGAAGGTATTCAGCTGGTTTTTGGATTTCTCCAGGAATTTTTGGTCTACGGATTTAAACGGCAGCTTGCTGACAGAAGGCAGCTGTACTTTTTTCAACGATGGGAAACACTGGAAAAAACAGCGGCGAGAATATTGAACTGCAAGACTCGGACCTCGCTTCCCATCTTTTCTTCGGGTTTCAGGACCAGTTTCCCCCCGAACGTATCAGGAGAGATGCATCCCCGCTCGCTCCGTTTCTATGACAACACAGCCACACAGTGGGCTGCGTTTTTAACGCTTTTCCTGGACCTCCCCCCCCCCTTCCGAACGACTGCACATCGCCGCCCGCGAAAACACTCGGAAGGAACTGTCAACAGATGCTTGTGGGTGTCGTACATTAGTGGGGAGCAATTAAAAAAAATTACCTCACTGAGCTTCCTGTGCAACATCTGGAATTCGCTCAGTCTCCTACAAACTGTCCACCTGTTCTTCTCCGAGTCCCCGGCTTCGAGCAAGTGCACGGAGACCGAGTACACGGGCATCTGCTCCCCGTTCTCCTCCGTGGCCTGCGGGAACGAGAAGCCACAGCCGAGTTTTACCCTTCGGAATGGCAAAAGCCCAATCTCCCTGATCTCGCGTTTTCGCTTAAAAAACAAAAATCAGTCAACCGAAATTCCCTTCGCTAAAACAACAGGTACTGTTCTTTCCCCCCAGCCCACTTCGTCCAAGGTGTGGAAAAGGAGTCGTTTTTTCAGGATACTGGGCAACCAGAAATAACCGCGAAGTATCTTTTGCAGGACTTGCATTCTTTCAAAAATCGAAATGAAATTCACGATCTGCATTGTGGAACACAGACATTATGATTGCCACCAGCAGTGGATTTCATTATTATTATTTCAACTTCATCTCTGCAGTTCACTCTGCCCATGCAGTACAGCTGCTCATCAATTCCCTGTGCGATTAAACCCCTCCACAAAGCTTCAGTGATCTCAGCAGCAGGTTATTGCCATTCATTCATGTCCACAGTTAAGGCGCTAGAAAACTAATGGAAAGAGTTAGGCATGAAGTAAAAGACTAAAGGCCCAGCTCTGCCCCAAAAGGAACCTTTCCCCAGTAGTTCGGGCATCATCCTTTTATTTAAAAAAACTGGAAGGAAACTGTCCTGTATTGAAACAGAGGATAAATCCACCCAACAGGGTTGAAAATCATACAGTCAGACAACCGGATGCGAACCCCATTACTTCAAAGAGCAGAGAATAAACAGCTCACAAGTCTAGCAGATGGCCTGGTTTGTTCTGACAAAAGTCCCCACTATTTCTTCTTTGCATCCATTAGCAGATACAAAGCACCTCAGGGCACATGCCACGAGGAAGCACGGTGCTCCAGCCTGATCTTGCTCTCTGTGCTGTCTCGTCTCCGGTCGGTGGGTTTTCTTTTCTACTCCTGGCATATCCCTATTTCTGCAGACCAGCACCGACTGGGACAGAGCTGCACTCTTTGACACCCCCGGGACCTCTCGCAAAACGCATCTCGGAGACGAGAGCTGTCACGGTAGATTCTCGAGGCGAGTAATTCTAGGAGAATGGGGTGGGGGGCTCACGTCAGTCCCAACAGCAGAGAGGCAGAAGCAGAACCGACGAGCGGAAACCTCTCTTTGCCCTCCAGAAGAAACAGGAAAGCCTACATGCCTTTCGCAGGGGGGGGGGGGGGGGAATTGTGAGATTGACCACTGAGGCACGTGGCCCGCAGCGGAACAGCGGCTTGAGAAGCAGAGGCAGGCAGCAGCGCTCCGACACGCCCCCCGCGGCCCGCTACCTCTCCGCTGTGGATGAGCGCTCGCCACATGCCCAGGTTCTCACACCACCAGTCGGTGCGCTTCAGGTGGAGCTGCAGGCTGCTGTGCTCCCTCTCCATGGTGCCGATCTCCTCCTTCAGCCTGGACACGATCTGTCAAGAGAGGGGACAGGGCTTGGGACCCTCCTCTGGAAAACAGGCAGGTGAAGGCCGCCTCGCCGGCCTTTTCCGCAAGGAATCCGGGCGGAGGGGCAACAGAACGCATTACTGGGATGGAACGGGTCCAGGATAATTCCATCCCGAAAGGCAGAGGAAAGGAACACAACGTTTCGGCTGTGGAATGATCTTACTGGGATGCTACTGTCGTCACCGGTCTGGAGCAGACAGACGTCTAATGTTAATAAGTGCTTTTTTGTAAAGGCCGTGCTTTGTGGAAATGACAGAACACAGAAGATCAATGACCTCTTACGGCTCAGTGCTGGGTGACATTTCTATAATTGGAAGGACACGGGTACTGTGCTGCAGAAACTGACAGTTACGTCCCTCAAATCAAGAGAGCACTGTTGCCCTGCGGGGGGAATATCAATGAGGCAGAAGGCAGGGGACATTACAGAACGTGACTGCCGTCGGAGCACACAAGAAAAGAAAATGACACAACACAGATCTCCCCTGGGCCACTCATCTCAGAACCTCCAAAGTCATTGATGCACACAGCTGTGAACACACGGGCTGCACAGAAAGCTCAACGCTGAGCCCTGCCTGGGGGGGGGAGAGGAGTTAATCCAGATACCTTCCTGTCGGGTTTGGGCGCGTTCAGAATGGAGCCCAGAGCCTGCCTCTTGTACTCCAGCTTCTCGTGCAGCTGGCTGAGCTTGCTGGCAGTGTAGGTGGCTTGCTCATTGATCCCAGTGCTGCCGTCATCCAGAGCCCCCTCACTGCTTTCACAAGCCTGGCTCTGGAAGAGCAGAAACCAGCCTGACAAAGGGCAAGACGTGCCAGGGGCACAAACTTCATCTTACTTGGTTAGACAATTAAGGGACAACCTCAGCAGCTTCGTGCTTTAACTTGTTTTCAGTCACCTTGTTCATCTTATTTACTACCTGGACCCGACCCAGGGACATTTGCCTAATTAAATAAATTACACCTATCATGTAACTAAGCTTTAAGTTTGAACTGCTCCTGCAAGAAAACATTTTTTTGGGTCTTTTTGACGGAAATTGCGTAACATCTTTTAGAAATTAGTATTGCTTCTGTCTAAAAATGAATCGGCTCCTAGTTTACATCACAGACAATAATTATTTCGGTGTCACTAGCACATATCGGAAACCAGAAGCATTCCCTCATTTTCAAAGGCACGTGTGAGGAAAAAGCAATACAGCATCCATGCTGCAGATTGACCAGAGCCTGACAGTACAGCCCGTGAGACTCGAGATACTGTATTCTGCTGCTAGGGGGACACAGCCCCCTGCAAGAACACAACTCACAACTCACAGAACACAACCCAGCACGAACAATTACTGCCCCACTCCAATCACTGATTGAACTCTAAAACTAGCGACTAGCGCTGGAAAACCGACTGGGAGCTCACATGTCCCATGAACAGTGCTGTACCCTTGTCTGTCTTTCTTTGAGGCTCCTTCCAGTCAGGAGGACCATTCATTAGATCGGTCCTGACATGGGCCTGAAGCTGTGATAAGGGTTGTGGGAAAACCCCCCTTTCCAAGACAAGGAAGGAGGTTCAGGCGGCAGAGGTCCTGTGGTTCCGGGGGGTTGGGGTTTGTTGTCGGAGACAGGCCTCCTCACCGCCTCGTCCTTGTCCTCGCTGCTGGACTGGGAGCTGCTGCGCTCCTCCTCCTTCCTCATCAGCCTGTCGTACACGTCGCTGACCAGGAACGAGGGGTAGAACCGCTCCTTCATGGTCTCGTAGACGTCGCCCTGGACCTTGCCGAAGACCTCCGTGCCCTTGTTCCCTATCAGCGTCTGCTGGATCTCTTTGTACAGGGCCTTTTCCACGGGGATCTCCCTGCTTTCCACAAAGAAGTTCTGGTAGATCTCGCCCACCAACTGAGGGATTTCGTTCTGTGGAGCGGTGGTGTAAAAAAAAAAAAAAAAAAAAAGTTGTCAGTACATGTGCCGGTTACATATGGCCATAAAGTTCAACAGGTTTATTGTATATGCAGTGCTGGCCCTGGTGTGTGTGTCTGTGTCTGCGTCACAGTGGACCAGCGTCCCACCCAGGGCGTACCCTGCCATGAGCCTGTTGCCTGCCAGGGTCTCCCCCGTGACCCTGTATAAGGGATAAAGCAGTTAGACAATGGCTGGACGGGGTCTGTGCTGCCTTGTGAGTCACCCGATTCTTGAACCGCTCGTCCCACTTTTAACGGGACATCTTCTGCAGCTCCTTGAGCACAAAGAAACCACATGAGACGTTCTAGAGGGGGTAAGGGCTGGTCCTCCGGAGAGCGTGTGTTCTCTGTGGCTCCCGAGCCCTGTGGGTCTTGTTATTACACGTCACTGCTTCTGTCTGAAAGCAGGCTCCTTCGGTCATGAGGACTGCTAGGTTTGTACAATCCTTATCAACCTGAAGGTGCCACTGGCCTGTCTTAGTCTCCCCCAAGGCACGACGGGCAGCTCCTTGCAGCCCGAGACTCCCGACCTGCCTGCTGCTCGCATTGGGGCAGTGACGGACACCAGGTGGCGTTACCTTGTTAGCGTTCTTCAGGTACTCCACGGACTCCCAGAAGCTAACGAGGGCCCTCTTGTCCACCCTCTCCATGTAAATGCGGAAATGCTCGCGGTACTTGGCGCTGGACATGATCTCCTCGAACTGAAGGATCTGGCGAAACAGACCGCTCCGCGTCAGAGGAACATGCACTGCACAGACTGGTTTCAACAGTAGAGCCAGGAACTACATTTTCAGGAGCTTGCCCATCCTGAAGAGGATAAAACCATTTTTTAATTGTATTTTTTAAACCAGGCTGGGCTCAGTGCATCATCAAACAAGACCTCTACGAACAGCACTGTGTGCAAATGTCACCGCTTTTTTAATCTGGCAGGTGTGGAAAAACTATGAAAACAGGCATTAGCAGATGTCAAACCCCTCCCCGATCAGACGTATGACCCTTATTGCAATTTTGCGTTGGAAGAAAAAGAAAGTTTAGTCCAGCAAGCTTTTACCAGTGGGGTTTGGGTTGTGCTACTGATCTCATCATGGTTAAATCAGGACGTAGCCCTCATGAGAACTACTGTGGAAACCATCGCTAAGACAGAGCCCACTGAGATATTACAAACCATTCTTTAAACATAGAACGGGATTCAACATCTCATTCCACCTCAATACGTGTGATCAAATTATGTTCTAAGGTGCAGACTGGGTGTATTATGACTTAATATCAAGACCTACACAGTGGGATTCCTTTCCTGACAATAAGGTTTATGAAAATGGATCATTAACATTCCAAAAACCAATTTTCCTTGAGCTGAGTTTTCTGCAAACACACTGCACTGATTTACCGCCCCTGTTGCGCGGTCGGTGTCGGATTTGCAATTATAATTTTCATCGAGCCGCCAGCGAGGCTCGGGCAGTGGCTGAAACGGATACCAGCCAGGAGGGAAATGAAGAGAACTTACAAGGACGCCACAATTATGTGCATTGTACATTAGGTGTTCATTTTTACTCAGCTTTTCTTTTGCTTGATGAACGCAAGGCTGAGAGCCATTGAAGTAGGACTGGTGTGGCTTCTCAGGTTCAGGGGCACATTTTCACTTGTTCATTTACAGAGCTGCACACTTAGACTTTTCCCTCGTAGATAATTTTAAAGGATTTATGCTTCACATCCGAGGTATAAAAAACGCTGGCAAATCATAATTGTTTTCTATTCTAGATCAAAGCATGAGGTAAGCTCAGTTTAACGCTGAGTAAGGGTTTGCAAGAAAAAATGAAACATTTTAGAGACAATTTATATTTTTACAGATTACCATGACATTAGGAGAGACCGCAGTATTTAACTGTACAAATGCTACAACCTATTTCCTGAACTCTGAACTCCTTGTTAGCCCCCGCTTATTACGAAATACTTTAAAAAATCGCATGGTTTGCACAATTTGTTTGCTGCCATGATTGTTGATTATGTGCAAGGAGTGTAGAGAGTGTCGCAGTGCAAAGGTGCTGGTTCATTTGTTGCTCATCTGTCACAAGACTCCAGCACTGCTGCAAACTGACAGGAAGTGTTCTTGGCCCTGTCCAGCAGGTCATTTGCCCATTTACTGACACAGGAGGCGACAGCGCGGAGCAGCATTACCCTGGTAGATGGGACCCTGGTCTCCCATCGGTTCAAATTCAAAGTTACTTGAGGTGCTCCACCCATCACCCTCCAGAGCAAAGACCATGCCGTATCACTGCTCCCGCTGGGGTGGTCCCTACAGATTTAACGGGCAAATAAACTGATCACTCAGCCATCAGATGACTCAGCGCTGCCACGCTCTGTGGCAGATCCCCCTCACTGGAGTGACCTCACCGTGACTCACAAGACGCCGAGCAGCAGGGCTGCAGTTTTGCGCGTCAACGATGGTGGGGTTTAATGCCGAATCCCAGCGCCCCGTCTCGGAGAGGCGGCGCGAAGGAGAAACTGCGACAGGCTCAGCGGCTGGCGGAACGAAGGGCTGTTCGGACAGAGGCAGCACGAAGGACCGCGTTACGGTCCTTTCGGGCTTGAGGAGTCGAACCAGGCAGAGCACCGGAGTGGTAAACTACAGCAGGTGGTGCCTGCGGGTCTGGGTTGACGCAATTACAGACCTATGCCACTCGATGTAAGGAGGAAGACAAGCGCGGTGCTCGTGCTCATTATTCAGCCTCCTTCCTGATTTCTTTCTGACAAACCCCTGGTGATGAGACCCTGAAATGGGAAGGAATGTGTGGTGACGAACACTGACTCGCTGAACGCCATTGAATACAGGATTCTCATCCCTCCCCGAATGTGCCTCTGTACTTCACCCATCTGTCACAGTGATGACATCTCCACTGCTCTGCAGACAAAACTGACAATTTGCTGGGCGTCTAATGAACAAAACTAAAAATATCCATTATGACAGAAACTCGCAACCAGAGTGATGCATCATACATACAGTATTCTCTGACACTGCAAATGGACATTTTTGGCTTCACAAAGTTTCAGACTGACAGTTTCTACACTAATGGTTCTTCTTAGTTTCAGCAAAATCGAAGGTTATTTTCACACAGTACGCCGCTACACGAAAGGGAGTTTATTGGATTTAATCGATCTAAAAACGACCGCGAATGTCAATCCCTTCATTCCACCTGTACAAACAGTTCTTGCGATTAGTACAAGCGGGACCTTGGCTTTGGAGCCGCTGCAGATGGTGCCGCAGGTAAGAAAATCAAACATGTACAGGCCTCTGAGTGAATGACAGCTGGACGCGGGTGTGTTTGCAGGCTGGTGCCTGCACGTGCCAGCGGGTGTCTACAGAGTTGTGAAGCAGCTGAAGACTTACTGCCGGTGCCACCTGCTTCCTTCAGTCAGGACTGTCTGGTTTCAGGAGACCCGTCTTACCCTCTGGCTCTGGGGCTCCTCGTTTTCATCCGAGGCTCCGTCGTCCGGCTGGTCGTAAGCTGGGCCTCCCAGCAGCCGAATCCTCTTCTCACACTGCTTCTTGGCCACGGTCAGCTGGTTGATGTACCTCTTCATGTTCCGGGCCCTCAGCAGGTCCGCCTTCATCGCCGCCGTCTCCTTGCCTTTGCTGTCTGCAAGGACACAGGAACGACAGGCTGGACTTTCGCCGTCCCTTCTTCCTGGAAATCACTGATAGCTTATATCCTCCCCTTGCCCACTGGGCCTAGACATCCTTAGCTGTTCTTTTATTTTTTACAGCTGCGACTCCCGGTCCCTGCCTGGATGAGGACCCGGCGTGTCGCCCGCCCTGGGAACCGGCAAGCCAAGCGGCCATTTCTCCCAGAGGCGACGAGACCCAGGCTGAATAACAGCCCCACCCTGCCAATGGGGCTCAGCTCGAACCCGCAGCATCCAGGCCACAGAGCTCCACCAGCGCCCTGAACAAGCACCACCGCTGGCTGGAGAGCCCCGGCCCAGGTCCTTCTGCTGGGCCTGTCGTGCATGCCCTGTCACACGCCCGCCGCAAGGACCGTGAGGTTGTTAAGAGCGACCAGGCTCACACTGGAGCCCAGAGCCTGGCCAGTACCTGGATGGGAGACCTACTGGGAAAAACTAAGGTTGCTGCTGGAAGAGGTGTTAGTAGGGCCAGCAGGGGGCGCTCACCCTGCCGTCCATGTGGGTCCTCATGCCCCAGTATAGTGATGGGGAAAGAATACAGTAAACAGGCGCCGACCTTCGGATGAGACGTAAAACCGAGGTCTTGATTCTCTGTGGTCATTAAAAATCCCAGGGTGTTTCTCGAAAAGAGTAGGGGTGTAACCCGGTGTCCTGGCCAAATTTCCCATTGGCCCTTACCAATCATGGCCTCCTAATAATCCCCCTCTATGAATTGGCTTCATTACTCTGCTCTCCTCCCCACTGATAGCTGATGTGTGGTGAGCGTTCTGGCGCACTATGGCTGCCGTCGCATCATCCAGGTGGGGCTGCACACTGGTGGTGGTGGAGGGGGTCCCCATAACCTGTAAAGAGCTTTGAGTGGAGTGTCGAGAAAAAGCGCTATATAAGTGTAAGCAATTATTATTAAATTAATTATTATTATTATAAGAGGAACTCGCCTAATGCACGTGTCACCTTTCCACCTGCCCTCATTTTGGGTTCATTCTGTGGTTTTAAGATATTCACTGCCCAGACTGGCAAAGCTACGTTTGTTTTGGAATCTCCATCTTTACTTCAGAGACGCGTCATTCGTGGCACACACTGCCTGTCATGCTCTGCAGCTGTTTCCCATCATTTCCCATCTGCTACGTTAATTCCCAGGTCCTCGAGATCAAAGAGCTTCAGACTATATCCACCAGGGATAAACATAATGGGACGAAATGGGAGATGAAATCAGTGTTGTGCTCATTTCACAAAACTTGCCTCATTTCACCCGTTCCATTCTTCACAATCCACGTTTTTCCAAATCGCTGCACTTTTTGGGATTTAAACTTATGAAAGATTAATTATACAGATGAAAAATCTTTCAAATCGGAAAAATCCATTAAATGCAAGTTAAGTGGGTGGCGCAGAAAACAGGAAAAGGTTTCTAGATCTGATTTATTGGCACGTCCAACACAAACACACAGGACGCAGTCGTCGAGGAGGAACGGGGATGCGTGGCTTGTAGAGAAACGATGGATGACCCTGGTTCACACAGACCCTTCTCCCAGCTGCTCTCTCCACAGAGCTCTCCAGTGATAGACGGATGGAGGAACAGTTTGCCCATTACGAAGCAGATGCTAGCACACATATTCATGAGAGACAGAACGTGAGCCCTGTGAGAAATGTTCATTTCCCCACCCCACTGTCTAAATGTTAGGACTGCGCAGGAGTCCGTGGCCCTTCTATCAGGCTAAAGTGCTACAAATTAAAACAAAGGAAGACAGGAAGCAGCTGAACACACCGCTAATTTCACAGTTACGACACGTCGGAGGAAGAGTGAATTAATCTCGTTCTCAGACTCAGTGACAATGACCTTTCGCAGCAGGGAAAGGGCAGCCACAGCCACTAAACATTCAGTGCATTTCCTGGTCAACCCTTAGCTCCCTGAGCTGCTCCATCTACATCCTACTTTCATTATTATTATACTTTTATACTTCTTTCTCATATTTATTTCGGACAAACTGCTGTCAGACTCAGGCTGCGCACAGATTTGTCGTTTGGCTTGCAATACCACCTGCAGTGAGCAATCCTGATCCAGTGCTCCTGGCCTGTAAGATTCAAAGCCATTCCTTTGACAGAATGTAGTGTTTTTTTGCACTTGATCCCTGATGACATATCCCCCCCGTTGAGTACAACTGCCCCACTAGGCATAAAATCTGACTGAATCAGGATCTGCTTCTGACCCTGTATTTAAGATCAGCCACCAGAAAGAGTTGCTCTAATCAGGTCAATTTACCACCCTACAACTGTACTGTGATCTCACCTGCAAGACCACAGCTCCTGCTTGGGCAGGGAGATCAGGGTCCTCTGCCCAGGCCAATGTAAGTCCCAATTCTGAATGTACTCTGTGCTGCCCCCCGGTGGTGAAATGACCCACCTACCGCAGGCTCACTCGCCATCATCCGGAAGAAACCGAAAACTCTTCAGAACATCTCTTCTGAACCTACTTAAAGCGCTCAGGCCCATGATCGACTTACTTTTGCTGTGCACCATACAACATCCCAGCACTTAAATAACTCTGTGTCTACAGTTTTCTGTGATTTTATTGCTGTTGCTTTATGACATTACCATTAACCGCACCCTCTCTGCCAAATTGATAAATGCAAATGTCTGAAAATAACGAAACGATGCTGTATCTCTTCAGCATTGGCAGCTCTTCCGATCTCATGAAACCTCAGACTGTGCCACACGACAGACTGAAGTGACCAGGAGCGGGTCAAACTCCTCGACAGAAGACAGCTGCGAAGTACTCGTCTCCGCACACAATTAGTGATGGTGGGAGACTCAGACATTGTAACTGTCCTTTAGCTCTGCCTGGGCAAGAACAAACGATCGCAAAGTGCCAGAAGCGGAGCCGGAGCAGAGCGGACGCCAATATCCCCGAGGGGCTTACTTTAATGCAACGCGTCACGCTGATCTGATTTATAGATTTCATTTTTAGATGTGGCATTACAGTAGATGCAGCACGAAAAGTCACATCGATAAATGCCTAAGTCACACAGTTTGTAATGAAAACGAAAATGATTCATCACTCATTCAATAAGCCGGGGCATTCAGCACAGGTAACCTTTTGAGGTTACGTCTCATCCGAAGGACGGCGCCTGTTTACAGTATAGTGTCCCCATCACTATACTGGGGCATGAGGACCCACATGGACCGCAGGGTGCTAATGGCATAAACTGATGGCTTTCTCACGAGGAGGTGCTCCAGTGTGAGTGTGATGGCAACATGGTGAGACCCACTCAATCACAGACCGGCACCCTTCGACGTACGGTGTACTGAGAATGGAAGAAAGATGTTCACAAATAATTTAACTAAGTTTCTTTTTGCTGTTGTGGTAGCATCCACAATTAAAAAACGCTGCCAAGAAAAGCCGATTTTAGAGAAACCCTTTTCGTCCGGTTTTTAAAATTGTCAGTTTTCTAAGCCGCTACAGCAGCGACAACAGGAATAGAGCAGAAGCCCCATGCTCAATCTCTTTCCACTCTCTACTCAACGCAGCTACAGTACACAGAGATCAAGACCCCAGGTCCAGAGAGGAACAGAGGGCCTGTAGCACAGGAACGCAGCAGGCACCATTCAATGCGATACTTTACAGTCGGGTTCCCAGCGTGTGTGGATAAAGGAAACATCTCAGGTCACATCAATAAAACGTTAATTGGTTTAACACCTGTCCTGACACCTTTAAAGGTACAGGTACAAGAAACTGAGTTCTTCAAGGTTTCAAAAGCCAAAATGCCCAGGTAAATAACTTAACATCTCGACCACAATTAATTTGAGAGTGAGTGTCATCACGCATGGAAACAAACACGTACTTACATTAAACGTGTGAATTAACAAGGGAAAAACTTGGAACAGGACAGAGGAAATATTTTTCTAACACCTCAGCTCCCTCCTGTTACTGCAGCCTCACCCTCCAGAACATAAGAGAAAAACCTCAAATTCTCCATCTGAGACCCTCAGCAGTTCTTTTTAGCTTTATATACAGTAGCCTAGACAAAGCCATGCAGACCATTGTCTGACCAATTCTGATTCTTCACAATTTTCAAAAATTGGAAGGGAACAGCTTTTTAACAGCAAATTATAAGATGAGTGATGAGCTGATGTCTGGGTATTATTAATAACAAAAACAACCCAAATTAAATGTTAAGTCTAGGATCAGGAGTGGAAACTAAGAATGATTTTCCTCTCCAAATGAATTCAAAATAGAGTTGGAACTTTCTCTTTCAGAAGCTTCCATTTACATTTAGCAGAATGCCTGCCAGTATTTTTAAGGGCTTCGGAGTGGATCTGAGCACTATGGAGAACTCTGACAGGCGGAGGTCAATAATGGCATTAAAGTCCCAGCCGGCCTCATGATAGCAGACAATGACAGACTTCTGCAGGCATCAGGTCTTACCTTTCTGTTTTTTCAGCTGTGGAAGGCTGCTGATCGTAGTTGCCTGAATGATTTCAACCACAATCTGGTACCTGCCGAAACAAAGACGTGTCATCCGTTCAGAAAAAACAAACAAACAAACATCTTTCACCCTAAAAGTCTTTAGTCTTGAACAGAAAAGTCTCTGAAGCGGCCCGATTCGTCTATCCAAGCTCCTCAAAGTCAAACCAGAAAATCAGCGTGAAACATGAACCACTGGACATGAACGGAATCTAAGGGGAAAATGCACAAGACTGAGAACAGATTCTGTTCAAATACATTCAACTAGATATCTACTCACAGTCACACTGTAGTAGTTAAACCCATTCAAGAAAGGCTTGGCTGCGATTCTGGAATTAATCAACCAAACGAGCTGGAAGTACCAAAGACTTTTTCTTGATCACCTTTCTTATGTACTGAATGTTCTGCATCCACCTGTTACTGCTGAGAACACAACTGACCAGTGGTCTTATTTTACACCGCAAAATGACGTAAAGCAAAAAGCTGGGGCAACCAGTTGAAACACATATTGTATAAACAATTCATTCATATGTTTCAACAAAGCACGTTACCATAGCAAAAGCCAGGCTTTCCATAAATGTATTCAAGGGGTGATTTTAACTCATTACCCATTGGTTTACAGCACCTGCTGAACTAACCCTCATATCCAGATATATACCTGTAGCACTGCAATCCAGAAGAGAAATGTCAGGCTTTGGTACTTGCTCTAACAAAATTATTCCCTTCCAGGATGTGACTAGGAAAGCTTGGGACGTGATTGTTTTTTATTACAATAACACCACGCATATTGTGCAATAGCCCTGAATACATATATACAAAGCATCAAATTATCACTCTTATTTATGCCTGATAGAGCTGAAAAAATAAAAATACAGTACATGGATTTGAGGTGTTGATTGCAAGTTATCGGAATGATTTTGATTATTCATGAATGAGGCCAACAGTTATGACTGTCAATTAATTTAATAGATCTCAAGTGCAAACTCTGCTGGAGTGTAATGATTGTTACATAAGGAAAAAACACCGTTCTAAACATAAAAAGAAACGAATCACTCTATACAGTATATGCATGCATGTTTTTAGAAATTACTGCTTTATTTAAGTTCGATACCGTGACACATTAATATATGATGTTTAATGTTTTGACACTAGTTGGATTAATTGATCAGTCATGATGATGAAAGCTGTGCATTGATGTGATGTGAACACTAAATCGTTAGCGAGAGAGTCACCTGGGAACAGGGGACTGCCTGTTGAATGTCAAGCCAGGTGAACATCGAGAAAGAACAAAAAGCACACACAAATGTCCTCCGTGTGAGATGAGAACACATCAGCTGTGCCCTGGGGATGCTGGAGACTGGGCTGAGAGAGCACAACATCTGGGGTGATCACAGCCTGCAATTTGTATCCTGGCAATATGTTACGCTCATAAATAAATTCATTAATTGACAACCATTTTTTTTTATTTACACTAAAAGTAATTTCTTATTACAATAAAGGCTGTACAAGGGCTTGAGGTATCTCTATTTATTCCCAAGGATTGACGTCTCAGGTGTTGGGTGTTCCAGTCTGAGGAGAGCAGATCCTTTAGTTGGAGGGTCTGGGGGCAGGGCTCTGGACGGGCTTTAATTAAAAGACTCTTCTTATGGTGCGAAGCGAAGAGGAGAAGGGGAAAAGAGTGAATTGCCACAGCAAAAGCTGCCATTACTAAGATGCTCTTGATCAAGGAATTCTTTTCTCTCTCGTTAACTCCCTGAGTGGCTCGGCTCGTGAAGCAGGCGGATGGAGGCTCTGAATGTACGCAGACTCCAGCGCCACAGCAAGTTAAATTTCTTTACGCACTTGCGTTCCATTTTTAGACTAGTGCCATAACACACCGTCCTTCTGCGTCTGTTGCTATCGGCAATCTTTTATAGGCTTGATGTTGCTATGGAAATTCTAAGAGGCCCATCACCAGTGTGAGGCAAGCCAGCCGATAAGAAGCAGACAAAGGTTTGTCAGCTCGTGGCGAAAGATTAAGGGCTGGGGCCTTTCTGCTCCTGTTTCTGCAACTGTGGGGATCGAAACCGTCTGGGACCAACTCGAACGTGACACGTCTTGACTTGCGGTAATTCCATTCTTTCTAAGAAAAAGGCAAAAGACACACAGCCGTAATCCACATGTGACGAGATTGTATTCCCGTTCCCTTTAGCCACGGTAATGCCTCGGAAATATAATCCAGGATTTTCTCCTTCTCAATCAAACATTTGTCTTTTACTACCGATATAGTCATGCTGTTGGCGTGTCTCCCCATTAAGACCCAACAACAGTCAATCATGGGCCCTTTCTAATGTGCAATTATTTATGGCTTTTAACCATTAGAGCTGTTTTGCAGCCTCTCGATACGCAGATGCCAGAACATCTCCATTATGGCACATTCACAACTGCACACGGTGTTGAAATCTGGAAACACCAGGTACAGAGAGGCTGAGGGGAGACACCAATAGGGCTCATATTGCTTCACCGTCATCTTACACTCATTAATGTCTTGTGATCCTTCAAAGTCTTTTACAATATGCTACCAATCCTGACAAAGTTACCCTAAGCTTCTTACTTTTATTATCCCAGCTGGGAAATTTGCTTTGCAGGCATGTAAAAGACACAACCCAATACACAACACATGAACAAATCAAATGTGTGTATGAAGAGAAAGAAAAAACATATAAATGTGCAATCAATCGTCCAAGCTATGCAGGTTATTAGCTGTGGCAATGAAAGACAACTTGGTTCTACTGCATCTGAATCTAGGCAGTCTAAATCGATGCCCAGAAGGAAGGAGCACGGATTCTCTGTGCAAGAGGAGGTCATGACAGTCAGTGATCAGATGGGTCTTCCACACTATTTACTTGATGTCTGAAGCTATGGCTGGTGTGCACCAATACTTTCTCAGGCTTGGTGGCAGGTCAGCTTGGTTCCTTATTTTAGGAACACTGTACCACTTGATCAGGTGTGGGTTTTTTTGGGGGGTAAATCCCGTTGATGCACATATTTGAACCAATGCTTACATTGTGTTTTTTTAAACATATGGCCATCCCATGTTCACATCCCACTCAATACAGAAACAACATGGAAGCAGGCAGAGTTGCACACAAAGCGTTACTTCTTCCTAATCAATTGAACAGATCTCAAGTGCAATTATTGCTGTAAGCTGTGTTTCAGAGTGTAAGCTGTGGTTCAGATATGTCCTTCGATGTGATTTACCAGGGCTACACACACACACTTAGGGCCCACGAGAGAACCAAGCTGCTTCGTTCTCAAGCCTGCATCTGCCGCTGGGAGTCACTGTACACTGAATACATTACCATACAAATGTATCCATTTCCCGAAACTGATAAGTCGTTAAATCTTTACATTCCAGCTCCTCTGCAAACCGCGGCACAAGACTAATTATTTTCCTGCTAGAGTCTACTGCAAACTGACACAAACTGACACAACCAGAAAGCAAGATAATGGGAAAAGAGCAGGATATGGACAACCAGCCCACAGTTGTTTCGAAACAGCCTTTCAAGGCATTTCAGTGAGATGTGGGCAGGCTGAGACCTTCACTTATCACAACTTGAAATTGCAAGGAAGTTAGGAAATGAGATCAGTCAACGTTCTTACTTATGAATGCTTGTAAAGTACCTACCTGGTTTCTGAAAATGTTTGCTACAGTTTGTGCTTAAGTGAGGGACTCTGCGCTCTAAGAAAGACACAGCTGATCTGTAACCTGTTGAGCAGCTGTAATCACACCCAGTGATCTGTTTAAAAAAAGTAATCTGGCCACCAGGGAGAGCTATAAGATCAAGGAATCTGCTCTCTCTAACAAGTTTTGTTTTACTTTTCATTTAGAAAAAAAAAACATTTTTCTATATACACATCATTTAAATATTTATTATTTAAAATTTAAAATTCAATTTTTTCCCCACTGCACACAACGGTCAAAGTAGCACTATGACTCATTGTTGCAACTGCTTAGAAGTCTGGCAAATTTTGATGCTTGGTTCAGCTGTGAAAATAAATCAGCTCACATTTTATAGCAGGGCACACTGCTCATCTCCTTTATTTGGAGCTGCACATTTATCTTTCGGCTGCTGTTACACAGCAAATAACTTAGAGGTAAACGGGAGTGAAGTCACTGCTCTGTATCAGCCAGTCGTAAAGCCAGAGGGCATTAGAAACAGTCACGTTGTGGTCTTCCCGAGCGCTACCGCAGTGAGAAAGCCACATCGTTCTTCCGACCATCTGAACAGAAGTGTGAAATTGAGAACTGAAATGATCATGGCAAGTGCATGGAAAAACGAAGAGCAAATGGCAAAACAGGACCTACTCCTTTTCAGGGGGTGAAAACAATAAAAGCTCTGCTCAACGCACGAACCGAATGCAATATGTGTTCTGGAGAGAAAAAAGCCACAATTTGTACCTCAGCAAACAGTAAAGTGAAACTTGCCACGCACGTGCAGTTCCTTAATTACTGCAAGAAGGTCAGGCAGGTCTCTACAAAACTAGGCTTTCCCTCATTTACAAATATAAAACGGTTCATTCGTTTAATTAAACTTCTGTCGATTCTCTGAGTTTGTGATACAGTTTAACACTAAACACACTCCCTAGAGCGCATGTATGCACACTGAGCATCAAATGGAATTTATCCCTCATAACGGCGACAAATCCGCAGTCATCAGAAAAGGTGTAAAATCTTTCGCACTGACATTTTAATGAACAGAAAGGATACCGGCAAACTGGTCAGGCCATCGATTGGTCTGTTGAACTATTCTGCACGGCTGTACAAAGCTTCTGGTTCTGTTGTACCAAACGTCATGTTTTTGCCCAACATTATCTTGCACAAAACGAAACTGCTGGCGAGTTCTCCCTAGGTGCCCCAACATACTGGTGCCACACAGGTATTGTCCCACCGACAGGCTGGGTATCAGACTCGGGTCTTTCCAGCGGATTTTCCTTGGATCAGGCTTGACTTTTAAACGGGTTACATCACCACAATCACCGCCTTTCACTAACGAGGAGAAACGTGACCCTCAGCACGATCGCAGGCCTGCAGGAGCCCAGCAGGACACAGGGCGGCTCTTTGTGTCGGAGCTCACACAGCTCTGGGGGGCCACTGTAGGCGGGGCTCAGGCTCGAACCCCTCGATCTTCGCTCAGAGCAGCGCCCGGACTGGCTGAGCCACCGGACGATTCATCCCCGCAGGACTGTGTGAGAGGCAGCCAACGACAAGTGAATTTAATGGCCGAAGAGATTTGCGGCAAAGGGGAAGGGAAAGGTGAAACACTTGTGAAGAGATTTACTGACGAACCTGCGGCACATTTCTGCTTCCCAGCAGATACACAGGCGGAGGAGCAAGAGGTCACCAGGTTACAGCATGCCTCACTTAAACTGCAGAGAGGCCTCTGTTCCAAACGGGCTACTTTACATCTCTATTCATCCCAATGTCAATAATTCTTCACACCTGCAGAAGGCTCCGCGGCCGAAACGTTGTGCCTTTTCTCTCTTCTTTTTTTCAGCAGGGAATAAACCTATTACTTGTTCCAATGTAAATAAAGCCTATTATTAGTGTACTGGTGTAATGTGTATTACACAGCTCAGGGTAGCGAAGACCAGCGGTCTGAGAAAAAGGGCAAGAAAGCCGAAGCGGAAACTTGAAGAATCTTTTCAAACTAAGTCACAACCGAAACCATGAGGTTAACAGTTACGGGCTACAGATGTACGCACTGGGATTTCAAACCGACTGAACGCCAGTGACGTTTTAAGACTTTAGGACTGCATGTTTTCCTGACAAATCTGCCACACGAAAGGCTTTTCCCCGCTGTGCCTCACACGGGTTTCGGAAAGCAAGGCTCAAGGAAGGGACCGCAGATCCAGCTTCGGCACAGAGGGCGCTTGCCGACGCGGCCCGCGACGGGAGAGGGGGCCCACCTCAGCTGCTTGAGGAAGTCCACGTCGGAGCTGCTGCTGATGAGCTTGATGAACTCCTCGTAGGAGGGGGCGTAGGTGTAGGCCTTCTTGTGGTGCGCCGTGGCCTGCTCGCGGTGCTCCAGCTGGGCCAGCAGCGTGCGGTTGATGTAGTCGGGGTCACTGAGCGCCTCCACCAGCGGCTTCAGCACTGCAAGGCAAACCACCCGTTCTCAGTCACCCCCCCTGGAGACGCGGACCCCCGCCTCCCCCCCGCCGGGGGTTAAACCCAGCGCCTCTCAGGAGTCACCCCAGAGTGAGCACACTGCTTTCTCTCTCCTCCAGAGGGAGAGGCTCCTTTTTATTACTAACAATACCCATTTTATGGGAAGCGAGCGATAAAACATTATGAGGCTAAAAAACTGTTTTCTGTAGAGGCCAATCCGGCTCTTCGCTCTGACATTTGCTTTGCCTGACTCCGGCCTGCCGCAGAACTGCTCTTTCACGCGAAGGAACACGTGCCGAGAGCAGAAGAGAGGCGCAGACTTCAGCCAGACTGAAATACGTCCAGAATATCAGTAATCTGCCACAGATCTGAGATTTTTCTGATCATGGTGCTTGGCTCTGTTTATTCTTAAAAAGACAGCTGTTACTAATCGGAACGCAACGTCTGTGGAAAGAAAGTGCTGGGGAACTCGGAGATCGGGGATGCCGAAGTTGTACAATGAGGACGTTTTTAAACTCCACCCCACCCAAACAAACCTCAGACTCTGAGCTGCACCTCAGAATTTAGTTCGCAGGTTCTTCCACGTCCGATAGAGAAAAGAAACAATTCGCAGCACAAAAAATAACTAGACGTCTACTGTACATGCTGCTCTTGTGGAACGCCAGCTCCAGACATGAGTCAGTGAATGAAAAGAGAGACAACGAGTGCATTATAGAAATTTCACAGATAATCTCTCTGAATTAGGTTCAGTAATCTAATCATGTAAAAACGTTTGCAGCGAGCACACTCTTGGACTCCTTTGGGTTATACACATCACCAGAGCGCCTACTGCCAAAAATGAAATTACGATGTCCACAAAGACTACACAAGGAGAGAGAGCCTAAAATATCAGTAGCCTAAGATTCCGATGTAGAATATTGTTTGGTTATACAAAGGCGCTTTGTCCTGAAAATCAGCTTTGCGCTGTTTTCCTACGGAATCATGAGGATAATCATCCCCACAAAGAAGGTTTAAAATAAAAAAGGAGAACAAACATGCACTGAAGCTCCGAACACAAGCTGGACCATGTGCAGAAATATTAGTTAAGTCACTGTGACAGAATCTGGAGGACAAAACACATATACAGTACAGTACTGATAAGAGGCAATTATTTAAAATTCATCAAGGCTATACATATCGTATACAGCACTGCTAGGGACTATTAAGAAGGCCTAGGCATGCAGCTTTGCTGTGCGACTGAGGCAATGAAGTCTTCAGGTTTCTTCAAATCATAGCCGCCAGCTTGGGAAGAATGGTTTGCTTGAAAGGCACAGCATAAAACAATGTCTGACTGGTAGAAACGCCTCAGCTCTTCTTTTCACTCAGTGTGTCTGTCTGGGACAGCTGAACCTCTGACACCATCTTCCATCAACACTGGAGCCCTTCACTTCCTCCATGTCCATTATTCCTACAATACCGACGATCGTAAATATCTCTCCCGCACCCCTGAGAGGAGCTTTTCAATGTGAGTTTGTGCCGTACAGACTGTGGACGCGAGTGGCCTGGAGCAGCAGTGACAGCATGAGAGCGTCTTGTGAGTCTCGCATGTGACGGCCAGCAGGCTGTGGAGAGGTCGGGGGCCTGCACTCTGAACCGGGGGGTTGTGGGTTCAAATCCAAGGTGCGATGCTGCTGCTGTACCTCCGGGCAAGGTTCCTGAACCCATAATTGCTCCAGGGAAGTACCTGGCTGTACAGCTAAAACCCCAGCTGGATGAAGGCGTGCAAGTGGAAGAAGTAAGGCACTCGGAAATAAACACCAGCAGCCACATCACCCTGCAGCTCACAACTGGCAGCCCACTGAAGCTCAGCAGGTGTGAGCCTGGTCACTACCTGGTGGGGAGACCTTCTGCTGGAAGAGGTGTTAGTGGGGCCAGCAGGGGGTGCAGTGGTCTGTGTGGGCTCTGATGCCCCCGAGCTGCAGGGTGATGTGGCTGCTGGTGTTTATTTCCGAGTGCCTTACTTCTTCCACTTGCACGCCTTCATCCAGCTGGGGTTTTAGCTGTACAGCCAGGTACTTCCCTGGAGCAATTATGGGTTCAGGAACCTTGCCCGGAGGTACAGCAGCAGCATCGCACCTTGGATTTGAACCCACAACCTCCCGGGTTCAGAGTGCAGGCCCCCGACCTCTCCACAGCCAGCTGCGAGACTCACAAGACGCTCTCATGCTGTCACTGCTGCTCCAGGCCACTCGCGTCCACAGTCTGTACGGCACCAACACGAGGAGAAAGACCCCCCCCGTCACGCCGCTCCTCCGCCCGACCCCCCCCCCCCCGTGCTGTGGGAATCCGTACCTTTCGTGGCGACGACCTCTGCCAGCGCCACCCGCAGGCTGTGGGCCCGGGCGTCCTTGCGGGGCAGGAGGCAGGGCATGAGCAGCCGCGCGCAGCCGCGCAGGAACCGCAGCTCCTGCTCCGGGCTGCGCAGACACGGGTGGAGACGGAAAGCCCCGGGCGGCTCTTCCTGCCTGCAAGGGAAACGCCACAGCGGTGATCGCGCCGCACTGCCGGAGCGGGCCGGGCGACAGCGGGGTCACCGCGCGGAGAAAGAGACCGACAGTCGCAGGGAACGGAGACGGGCTCCCCCGGACTGCGGGAGACCAAGGCAAAGCAGTGGTACAAGCGCAGTGGGGCCGTGGCATTTGTTGTTTGCAAATACAAAAATACTAGAATTCATAATAATAATTACACCCCTACTCTCTTCGAGAAGCGCCCTGGGATTATTAATGACCACAGAGAGTCAGGACCTCGGTTTTACGTCTCATCCGAAGGACGGCGCCTGTTTACAGTGTAGTGTACCCCATCACTATACTGGGGCATTAGGACCCACATGGACCACAGGGTGAGCGCCCCCTGCTGGCTCCACTAACACCTCTTCCAGCAGCAACCTTAGTTTTTCCCAGGAGGTCTCCCATCCAGGTACTGACCAGGCTCACACCTGCTGGGCTCCAGTGGGCTGCCAGTTGTGAGTTGCAGAGTGGTATGGCTGCTGACTATTAATTAACATTAAAAAAGAAGCGTGGCTTTTTTGGCAGCCAGGCGTATTGCCAAGGTGAGAGGACCGATTTGTCATCTTCCCCCCTGGGCTCTCCTGGGTGTACTGTCAGCGCCCACACGTCGTGTCCTCATCGCTTCAGGGTGTGGTCTGGACACTTCAGTCTCTGCTTCACTCCGTCTATGAACCCTTTCGGTATATCGAAGGCTGACAGTGAAAATAGCACACTGTGATGCAATGCCACCCTCCTCCCGGCTGCAGAGCGAACTGACCCAGAAGGTGAAATCACATACTGTACCTCTTCTCAATACAGACCACAGGGTGTCAGTAAACCGTTCTTCTGTGGGAAACCAGTACAACACAATTGGAAAGCAATAATCAATAACTGTGACAACTGGGCAAGCGGGCGACATGGCAATCTGAGACTCTGCTGAGAACCTCATTTTCTTTATCGAATCGGAATATTCACCTCTCAGGGAGCTAATTATCAGCAGCATCTATACCAAGCCTCACCAATCCTTGAATATGCAATGATAAACTACACCAGGTTGGGAAAAAATGATGCAAAACAGTTTTTCCTTCCTGGTCTCATAGGCACATAACTGACAGGAAATTATTGTGCAGTTATTCAGCAAAAAAAAATAATCATAACCCGTATATACACGCACACAACCCATTCATTTTCTTACACAGAACATTTCCACATATCGATAGTTAAGTTTCCAGTTTATCGCTGCGTTGCGTTAACGCCACAAGTTCATTTCCATCTGAGCAGTGTGCAGGCTGCCATCTGTGCATCACACAAATCTGCTGTATGCCTAGCATGTCCCCAGAGAGATAGAGCTTACACATATAATACACTGATATACATAAAGCCTCTCTCGATCTGAAACTGACTGGCTCCTCTCATGTGCAGCACACCCAGTTGGACCACACACTGAGAACAGTTGTGTAGCTCAGCTGTCCCTCCTCTTCCTGACAGCCATCTCCAAGAACAAACTGCAGCCACCTTGGTGTGTCCTGAATGGCAGCATGTCACTCTTACACCGAAGTCTCTACACTGGCTGCCTATAAAGTCACATATTCAATGTCTGGCTCCATCATACATCCCTGATGCTTACACTCCCTCGTGTAGGCTCCCTTCAGCTCAGACTTCTGATGGCTGTGCTTTCTCGATCACTGCTCCTTTGTTATGGAATGACCTTCCTCCGACTCTTTGAGAGAGAAATCCTTTACCTCTCCTCACATCTAAACTCAAAACTCAACTTTTACCCAGGGCCTATGTGTGACTGCCCTGCATTATTCTATCTACATCTATATAAACCTGTAGACTCTTGTTTTCTTTTCTTTTATCATGATCTACAGCATCCTTGGGTTGGGAAAGGTGCTTTACAAATAAAACGTATGATTATAACTTTGATTATAATAAAAGGAAGCTGCACTGCAGAACAACTGAAGAAAAGGCCACAAACGTATGAAAAGGGAAAGGGTATGTGCTTTTACTGTAAACCAACACTTCCTCTGAGTGTCTATGTGATCAGGATCAGGATCAGCATATTTTCAGATTGTGGACAAAGTTTTTATTTGACATCTTGCTCAGTGCTAAAAGCAATGGAGCAGCATTTTGGAAAAGCAAAGATTACAGCCTCGCTTCCCACAGCCCCACAGCCTGCAGAGGGGATAGATTTTCAAATCACAGACGTTTTTTTCCACAGGTAAAACAAATCTGAGCTTTCATTCAATTTTATTTGCATTTTCATTCATTTTAGGTTTGGGTTTTGCTGTGGGAAGAAATCTTTTTACTATGCATTTCCAGAGACTTCTGAAGAGCAACGGAAAGCTTTTTACTTAGATCTTCTGTGCTTCTGATGTGCAATCCATGGCATTTCTGTCTGAGCGGTTTTCCTGTGCAGTGAGTAGCGGAATAAAATGTTCAGACGGTCAACAACAACAAAGGCACAGAGAAAATGTCGTCTGAAAGGGGGGCTGCATCACCGTGAAAAAAGAGGTTAATTCCAACCTGAAAAGTAAGTAATTAAAATAAAAACAATTTCAGCTAATGATCCCGGTGAAGGCTCAAGTGCGTGACATGAAAAAATACGTTATCTGTGAACAGCCATTATAAAAACACTTGTCTAATTTGTCCCACCAATCTTTTTTCAGTGACTACTTGATTCGAGGATGCCACCCAAACTTCTTCTTGAAAGAAGCTAGGATTTCTGCTCTGACAAAGTCTGCTGTTCCAAGAAAAACAATTCAAATTTAGTTCACAAGGGCGCAGCGGTGCCGTACATCACACAAAGCGTTAATGACGATCCTGGTATAACCTGTACTGGTGGGGGGTTTGTCAAAAGTATAACTGAGAACTAATGAAGTGTAATTTAAAAGTTCTGCTTGGCATCACACTCACCTTCACGAGCTTGTAAAGAAAAATGATAATATCAGGTTCAAAGTCTAATGGCTTGACATTGAAAAGGGGACTTTTGCTACAGTGGAGCCACATTCCTCAACAATATGCAAATTCAAATCCCATCTTTTCCCTGGAGCACTACTGCTCCTTTTAAAGAATCTCTCCTTCGTCCACCAGCTCATTGTCCAGGCCCGCGTCAGTTTTTCGACTGGACAGCTTCAGCTCCCTGCCTGCTGCCACCCCTGATCCAGTGCTCTGCCCTCTCCACACCCCAAACATCCGCTCCCCTCCGAGAGCCCTGCCAGCCCCACTGGGTCCCACCCAGTTCCTAGACTTCGCGCACAATTCCCAGGATTTCCCACCCTGCCTGTGTGTCCACTGTCCTTCCTGAAACTGTGAACGCCAGGGCTGCGCCCTCTCTGTCCTTCTCCCAGTGCCTGCTGTACACCTACCTTTCCGAAAGGACACGAGCCGCACATCCTTACCGCTGGGCTCCCTGTCCTGCAGGGGATCACATCCCACTGTGCCTCCCACTACAACACAACACAGGACCACCTTTCCTCGAACCCTCTGTTCTGCTGTACTGCAGGCACACGGCATGCTTCTCACTCCACTGCTTGTTTTCATTCTCTACATTACTTTCAGCATCCACACAGCTCATTCCTCCCCGACTCAGACATTCAGCATTATACTGTACACAGGAGATTACATCCTACATTTTGTGGCACAGCTCTGCTTCCACAATACTGCACTGTTATTTTTCATTCCAGACTGTAAGTTCACAATGCCGTCAGGGTGTAGACTGCAAGCTGCCTTCAGTGCCAAATTAACATTTTGCTTAGAAAGTCATGGTACAGTATATGTTTTTCAAATGAATCTCCGCCCCCCTTTTCGCCATCAGGCCATTTCCAAAATTCATTTCGGAGCTAATTAACTTCAGATCTCTGATTAATCCGGTTTTCGGCTCACCATTAGAGCTGTGACCTAAGAATTAAGCCACGGGTCAGTTCTGCTCCCCGTCAATGCAGACATTCAAGTCTGCGTGCATGACTGCAGCGCGTGTGATGTGTGGGGGAGTGTGTCTGTGTTTGGGAGGGGGGGCAGTGTGAGTGACTGCATGATTGTGTACGTCTCGGTCAGCTCCACTGAAAAACGCACTACAGTTTAAACATCAAACATCATTATAATGGTTAGTAATAAATAACTGCTTCCATAACTGGTTTTCCATCATTACCTAATACATTTCACCAGCATTTCAAGGTACAGTATCTACAAAGGGCTGAAAAAATTTGAATATCCTGTTATTGCTTAAAGCTTTAATGCTTGAATGCTTGTTCTTAAAGTTCATATCACTCCTAAGGCGACCCTTTGAAAAAATGTGGCCAAGACTTAAATATTCTCAGCCCATGGCACTTTATCATAGGTCCAGTAGTCTGCGTAAAAAAACGACAAAGCAAAATAAGACAACGCCATCATCACAGCACGGCTGAATCGAGTAAGAGCCAGCGAGCGACACAGCACTTCTGCAAACGCGGTATCGAAGATACTCAACAGCTGGCTTGAAAACGAAACAGCTCCAATCATTACCCTTTTATTGTATTCTATATTTACACCTGGAACTAAATTCTTTTCTTACCATGACTGACATTTCAAGCCTGTGTTATCAAGGACTGACATTCAACCTTCGGGTGTGTACCATTACTCCAGCTCTCAGCATACAAGCCAAATTAAACATGAATGGCGTGCTCACTCACAAATCACAGCCTGATAGAGATCTGAGCATTTCTTGCACTACAACTGCCAGCCCAATAAGAACTGCACAGACAACAACGCATGTTTATGTTAGGGAATGAGGTCAGCTCATCATGTGAAGGAAAGAAAAAAAATCTGCATTTCAGGGTAGAGGAAAGAGCACACTTAACAAACCCTTTCGACAGAAAACACTGGGAACAAAAACAGGAGAGCATGTATTCACGCGCTCAGATATGCCGTGCACCAAATTTAACGCATCATTACGATACAGTTGCAATCAATTCCTTGAAATGTATCTCAGTGTGTGACCTTCTACAACTCCAACACATAATTCCTTCTCACTGTGCGTCGTGTAGTTTATACACAGTTCTAAATAAATTGATTTTCAGCAATGTTTTGTACCTGTCAGATTTTAATACTCATGCTATTTTTTCCCAGTTGTGCAATGCCACAGTCTTCACTGTTTTAAAAAAAAAGAACTCCAGTTACCTGACCTTTTAAGTCCTGTCTTAATCCTCATAAAAAGGGAGCCTGTGACATTTCGCTGCAACAGATACACTCATAATGCAGACTGAAGGAAGCCTGGTTTAGCCAGTTAATAATGTCTTTTCCCTACACAATGCGAGAGCTGATGCTTTTTTGTTACTGAAGGGAACAACATGGTTTAGCCTCATGTTACCAGAGAAGCAGAAAACGCCACTTATTTTAGTGTGTCTTTTGTCTTCCCGGGAAGACATATAAATTATTGACCAGCCAGCACCTTAATGAAGCCTCAGGAGGAAAGATGCTCAAATTATCTGCACAACACTTTTCAAATATACCATAACATTTGGAAAACAAGTCAATTAAAATGTGTTTTTTTCACTTTACACTGTTTATTTTCAGCTTTTGCCTCTCTTTCTTGCATTCTAATAAAGACCCACATGCACTAAAGGGACTGTCTCGTGTAGCGTTCATTTTCAAAGTACTGTAAGTGCTCGTGCTTGAGGGTAAGAGACTGAGAGGATGGCGTTTCTGGCTGAAATCAAACCAGCCCTGCAGAAGGACCGCGTGAATTCCATTTACAGGGGTGCTGGAGATGCAAACTATGAATTTTACATGGAAATGCCCATGAACGCGTGCCGTTTCCTTGCATAGAAAAGCAGTACTATAAACAGAGCAAGCTGGGGTAGTGATACGATTCCCCACAGTCATGTCGTTACAACCGAATTCCTCGACAAACCCAAAATCAAATCGTTAAGTACTATTGGATAAACAAAGAAATGTCTGCCAAGTTGAACTGACAGGCTGAACGTTTCGGTCTTGCAGAGTGTTCCCAGCATGCACCTCAGTATCGATACAGCCTTCTGGGCTAACAGGACAGCTAACAACGAACACAAAATGGGGTCAACTAGCATCAGCTGGTCTGCAAGCATCTGCTGGCACTCGAGAGCCCTCTCCTCTCGAGGGAACACGAACCGATCAGTACCTGGTGTTGGCGGCTTTGAGGTCACAGAAGTGGGCGTGCAGGGTTTTCACCGTGTCGTTGCAGACCAAGCTCACGACGTCGATGCCGGCCAGCCGGGTCCTGAGCTGCCTGGCGATCTCCCAGAAGTCCTCAGACAGCATGTGATAGAGCTGCCCCTCGTCCCTGCTCAGCTCCACGTACCAGGACAGCACGTAGTCTCTGTAGCTGTAGTCGAACACTGCCACGAGGAAACAGATGAAAGAGAGGGTGAGCTGGGAGACGCCAAGCCCTGCCTAGAGGAGTCGGTGAAGAGTCTCGGGAGAGGGAAAGAGAGGGAGCTCGCATGGTACCCAGGGTCTGAACCATCAGGCCAAGTTACAGATCCTGTCCGGCTCTCCTAAATCACTCAGGAGGTAACGTGACATAACATTCGCAAAGTGATCAAACTGACATAAAATGAGGTCTCCTAATTGAGCATCTCAAGACATTATGCAGAAACGCAACCTGGTAAAACTTGACTGGAAATGGTAAATGTTATCATGCACCAGAAACACGTTGCTTTAAAACATCAAGTCTAAAGGATCAGAATTGAACTATCCTGCAGAAACCTGAGCTTGGCGTCTTTATTTTGCCAACTTTTGGCAACACCAGGCGGACACGCCCCCTCTCCTGGGGAACAGGAAGCTGTGTGCAGAAGTGCCGTGTGGCACGCCAGCGGTGTCAGCCATGCTCTCGCTTGGATGAAAAGAAAACCGGCAAGCAGTCTTTTTTGCTGACCATTACACACTCTTTTTATTCAACTATTAAAAAGGAAAGTGAATCCGATGAAAGCAATACAAAAAAAACAACAACTTTCGATTCAGTTCCTAAAAAGAATATCACTAATTTTACACATCTAGGCTGTGCTGCAGATCTGCAAGAGGCGACAGATCGATCGTGTTCAATACAAGGCCACATTAGAGGCAGTGTTTTCCGGGGACCGGTTTGCTGGTCTCTGAAATGGTGATTATGATTTGTATTCATGGCCAACAGTATAATAGTATAACACATGCATACTTCGTTTGAGGTCCACTGCAAAGACACTGTGGTAATAGCCCACAGCCACTGTCACATTCCACGCAAGACCTCAGCGCCGAGTTAGAAGCACTTGTCTGGATCGTTAGGTTAAATCCGTCCTCTACATTCAATCATCTAAATGAACTCTTCCCTGTGTGGGCGTTTGGATTTCAGACACGCGACGCATTTCAAAGAAACCAAATGAGTCTGAGACTGTCTAAGGCAAACTCTCTCGGAAAAGGAGCCATACGCAGAAAACCAACAACCGAAGGAGCAATCAGCCAGGCAAAGACTGGTCCTTAAGTAGGCGGCACTAATCTGGATGTTGCAAAATGTATAAAATTTCAAAATTTATGAAAAATGTATAACTAGACCGCTCAGAGGAATCCAGGGTACAAAAAAGGTAGAAGAAAAACCAAGTGTCACACACCAAATGCTATTCGGTTTGTAAAAGGCCCTCCCACCCCCAGTTGGACATGATCATTCCTGAAGCTCCCCACAGAGATCTGTGGGACTCATCTCAGGGCAAAGGTCACAGGGACGAACTGTCCCAGAGATGAGTACGACACCCCCCCCAACCACCCCAACGCAAGAGGAAGAGTCAAATCCAAACCGCCTGGCTCTGGATGGGGCTGAAACAGACAGGTTCATTTTTAGCTTGGGTGCTGCTGTTGTGGGCGATGACTACAGTGGGAGGAAGGCACACAGCCAGCTCACACTGGGTTTCTAAAAGCGCACTGCGCAGATCGGTTTCGCAACGCGTTCCGGCAGGTGTTTCCTCCAGAGCGCTGGGGTGGAAGGCAGACGTCTCTTCATGGTGCTCCGTTCACCGTTCAGACATGGGGGCGGAAGCCGTGGAGAGCCTTCCGTGTGCAAATCACTGCAGCGCAAGGGCCTCAAGGCCAGTTTCCTGTGACATTTTGTGGAAGTCATTTTTAATTCACAGGAATGGGACTTTCATCTGCAGAAGGTGCTTACTACACACTTTCCTAAGAACTGTCAGATCCCAAAAGGCAGATCTGTAAGTGTTTAAAGCCACGACCTTTGCCAGCTCAGTCTTGGGCACTCAGGTGCTGTGCTCCTGGCCTGTGGAGCTCACTCGTGCTCAGCATGAGAGTGGCTTGAAGCCAAAGACGCCAGCGCTGACGAGGGTATGTGTGATTACTTGGGAACCAAAACTGCTCTCAGCATAAAACCTGATTTTGCTTAAAGTTCTCCTATCACAGTACTGAACAAATTAATTAACTGAACCAGTTAATGCAGTTAGAGTTTAATTGGCTTTATATCATGTTGTTATGTCACCATTTATATCATAAAAGTGAGATAGATACCAGCAGCCATATCACTCTGCAACTCACAACTGGCAACCCTCTCTAGCTAAGCAGGTGTGAGCCTGGTCAGTACCTGGATGGGAGACCTCCTGGGAAAAATTAAGGTTGCTGCTGGAAAAGGTGTTAGTGGGGCCAGCAGGGGGCGCTCACCCTGCGGTCCATGTGGGTCCTAATGCCCCAGTATAGTGATGGGGACACTATACTGTAAACAGGTGCCGTCCTTCGGATGAGACGTAAAACCGAGGTCCTGACTCTCTGTGGTCATTAAAAATCCCAGTGCGTTTCTTGAAAAGAGTAAGGGTGTAACCCCGGCGTCCTGGCCAAATTTCCTATTGGCCCTTACCAATCATGGCCTCCTAATAATCCCCATCTATGAATTGGCTTCATTTCTCTGCTCTCCTCCCCACTGATAGCTGATGTGTGGGGAGCGTTCTGGTGCACTATGGCTGCCGTCGCATCATCCGGGTGGGGCTGCACACTGGTGGTGGGGGAGGGGATCCCCATTACCTGTAAAGCGCTTTGAGTGGAGTGTCCAGAAAAGCGCTATATAAGTGTAAGCAATTATTATTATTATATTACAGAGATATTCACTGCATTGAAGTTAGTGTTCTTCTTGCCTATGCTGACATTAAAGAAGCCCAACTTTCGCCTGTACTTTAACAAGGAGCTGGATGGATATGATAGAACAAAACGCTTGAATCAAAGGAAATCTCTCAATTGAGAAGGTAGCCGTGAATGAAAATTAAATAGGGATTACGAAAAGACATTAAATTCATTGAAACACAGTACATATCAGACGAAGTAGTGTTCTGTTTGGTTTATGTACTCAACTGGTACAATGTTCCTTTTCACATTTAACATAATTAACTTCATTAAGCTCTGCTTACAATTCTCATTAGTCTTACTCAAAATTCTTCACAATAAAACCCTGGTACTGGTGGAGAATTATGAGCAAGCAATAAATGGTTGTTTCTTTGGTGCTGAATCTGTCTCTGGTGCGCTGCCAGGCAATGGTGAGGTACTATGCCAACTCCTCAGATGCAGTCTCTCTGAAACAGTTTCATTTAGCAGGCAAGACGTGTTGCCAGATGACAGATGGGCTGTAGCAAAGCCAAAAGTGTACAGTCGCAAGGCCAAAGAACGATAGATTCTCAGGACTTGTAATGGGCCTCTGCCTTTGATATTTATGAAATGTACTTCAGGATACAAATGTAGTGGCCAGAATAACAGCAATGAACATTATCTTGAGCTACTGTTCTCAATGTCTGCTTTGCTAAAGACTTAGAATTTAGGACAAAACATAATGGATAATTTAATGCTTACTAGCCTGTTTGGCAAGTGTCTGTATCGATCAACGAATTTCATCAAGCTGGTTTTTTGAGTGCTCCTGGAGAATGACCATTTTTTGCAGCCTGGCAACCCGTTCCTTATTCTGGAGCAGAGCAAATCCAGAACAGTACAATATTTAAAGCATCACTTCATTACACAAGTATGATACTCCTTTTTGTAATGCTTCTTCACTTTAAAAAATACCTTGACGAGAACACAGAATGGAGTTGTGAAACAAGTTTTGAGCCTATACTTTAATACTGGTATCTTTTATGGTAATAGGAATGAGACCGATACCACCACACAGCTTTGTGGGTAAGAAACACAGAAACACTATTATGACTAGGAACCCCCATTCCTGCAAAGGTCAAAATGAAAAAAAATGATTATCTGATTAGTATGCTACAATAATAAATGTTTTCTTTCATTTCTTGAATGCTTGCAGCTGGATCTCTTAAAACGTCCATGCCTTTCAGTTCAAAACCTATAAACGAACATTCATCAGAGAAATCCCATGAAACTTCCTGTGTTTCTTAGACACTGCTAAAGAATGAAGAGAAAGAACTCCTTAGAGCACATCTGACACACAAAATTAAAACAATCAGCTCTAGATGGGGCCATTTTGTTTCTAGAGAACGCACAGCTGAAGCACTGTATCTCTAGAATTTCCACAGATAAACCAAGACCAAGCTAAATTAGGCAATCTTGTAAAGGCCAGACGTACAGAACATACTATGTTCCTTCCCAGGGTGTTAAAAATACACAGATCAAAATGATAAGATAAATACATACACCTGTTTAGCCTGCAGGCTTTATTATTACCTCTATAAACCTGAATCTGCATAAGGAATTCTAATATGCAGTGAAAGATTATGAAATTACTACCACAAAAGAAAAACTCATCTTATCAAATGTCGCCTAGAAATAAAAAACACATCTTATTGCAAAAACTTTCTCTACCCCAAAGTCAATGGAGGAAAAAAAAAACCTTGCAGGAACACTTTCTAATTTGGGCAAGACTCAAAGTTACAGTTGCACAACCACCACAAGCAGCCAGTATTAAGGGGACGTCCAGCTACAGTCCCTGTAGAATGGGTTCTTGTTAGTGTCAGTCTGCTGTATCTGTAAAAACCTGATTCCTTATTCAATGTCAAGCACAGGCAGGGAGATCAGGGGATGGATGCAGGATGGAGGTGAAAGAACAGAAAACAAGGAGAAAGAAATAATAAACGGGTTAACTGTGGTCAAACTGATGCCAACAGCAGCTGCCCGTTTACTGGAATACCTCTTACTTTCCGTTATTGAAAAACCCACAAGATGAAAAACCGCATCAAGTTGCAGCTTATTTGCTGGGGCACACATGTGAACTGGAATTTATTGGCCTGCCCTTGCTTTACTTCCATTATTCACACCAACAAAATGGGCGCCTGTCAGTGGCATAGGTGTCCATGTGCTTAGACTGAAGGTCAAAACAAACACTTCCCTGCTTCCAGACGGACAACCCGGCCCAGCCGTTTTGCAG